AATCTGGCCTCTTGGGATAGTCCCTGTCTCTATCCCACCCTTCCTCTGCCCCCTCAGTGTAGCTCAGGAAGCAGCCGGAGGCCGGAGAGAGCAGGCGGCCTGCCCTTCCTCCTGCTTCAGCCCGCTCAGCTGGAATAGACAGAGAAACCATGCCCCTGGCCAGCCCTGGAATTCAGGTGCAGGGCTGCAGGTGGGCGCGAGCAGATCCCGTGCCTGGGACTCTAGTCTCGCTGAGCGGCTCTTCCACAAACGGGGTGACCCTTGAACCTGTAAAGTCCACCCCCTACCTGCTTATCCACATACCGTCTTGTTGTTTTTGTTTTTTTATTTCTTTTTTTATTTTGTCTTTTTTTGTTTGTTTTTTTAGAAATCTGTCTTTCAGGTTTGCCAGAAGGTAGGCGTTGAGCCCACTGTGTGTGTGTGTCTGTCCTGTGTCCTGTGTCTGTGTCCTCCTCTGTCACTAACTCCCCTTTTCTGGCTCCTGCTCCCCCTCCGTCTGCTAACCACCTCTGTGTGGCCCTCTGCCATCTTAAAGGGATGAAGACGGCTCGGACTGGGCCGCCGCGTGAGGCCACATTTGCCCACTCGGGCAGATGACTTTGAAGATGATGGGCCTATCCCCGAGCAGGGGGTCTTCTCAGGGAATTCTCCCTTTAAGATTGGCTCCTCCCCCACCCCCACCTCTGGGATTTGGTCTTTGGTCTCGAACATGGGGTTTGTGTTCTGGCCCTTCCCCTGTCTGTGCATGCGCTCCCAAGAGGGTCTCCCTGCCGAGGTCGACAGTGCACCTGGGATGGTCTCTCATTCTGGGGCTCCTGGCTTCCCTGTCTCTGTCCCTGCGAACCTCTGGGCTCTGTGACCTCCTGCCCCTGTCCCAGGGATGGCAGGACTTCGGATGTACTGCAGGGACTCGGGGTCCCAGGGCTTCAGTCTGCCGCCGCTGGGCCCAAGGAGCCTTTGCCTCACAAATGGGGCACAGCACCCCTCTGGCAGCTCCTGCGGAGCTTGGGCCACCCCCCAGCACACCTGCTGCCTCCAGCAGTATCTGAATGAACCAAGCCGCCTCCCTTCTGGGCTGATACAGCCATGGCCTGTGGCTTCCAAAGAGCCAGGAGCTGGAATGTTCTAGGGCCCTGGCAAAACAGGGAGATCCCCCTCCCTCAGGCATCTCCCTTCCTGGGCCGGATCCTGGCTCTGTCCCCACCCCCGGGCCTCCTCATCTCTCTGGAGGCCTGGGTGGGCCAAATACCAAGCTGAAGACCAAGGGCCAGGTTTCCCAAGGTTGTCAGCCTCGGCCCTGTGCTAGGACACCTGGTAGGCACGTTGGTGCCCAGCTGACAGAGAAACAGCCGAGACAGGGTCTTCAGGCTTTCCCCTTCCTCCTACCGACCCCACCCAGCTCTTCACTGCATGGCTGGCTGTTGACTCATGTGGGGGCCAGCCCTGCAGGCGCCTCCACCCACAGGGCAAGAGCCAGGTGTGGCCCGAGAGAGCAGCCAGGCTCCTTCCCTTGCGCAGCCCAGGCTCCAGGCGCGCAGTGCGCTTGTCTGCATTTGTGTGTCTGATGTCTTTGTGTTCCTTTTACATGTGCTGCTGCTGCTCTCTCTTTCCTCACACCCTGCCCTCCTCTGCAACCCCCAATTTCCCAGCTCCAGGCACCCATCTTCCAGCCAGGAGCTGGAGAAGCCGCTCAGCGGGGCCAGACCGCTCCCCACACCCAAGGTGTCTGCCCGGCCCAGCCCTGCCCTGCGTCCTCTCTTCTGTATAATCTGATGGCTTGGCAGCCTGGCAGGCAGGGGAGTTATCAAAGAATGGGGGAGGTGGGCTAGTCTGGGGCCCCAGGCACCATCCCTGAGCACATCTAAGCAGTTCCAGAGCTTGGCCCTCTGAGCTCCCAGCCCCTTCCCCAGAGGCCTGTGGTTCTGAGAAGACGCCCGCACAGCAGCCTGGCCGTGGGCCGGGGCCCTGCCTGCCCGGTGACTGCTGGGTGCGGGTGCCTGCACCTCCACAGCCTCCCCCCCAGCACACTCCTCCGGGACTGTGGGGAGGGGCGGGCTCCCTGTTGGAAAGCTGCCGGTGTGAGGTGCCGCAGAGCCATGTTGGCCTGCCAGGTGACGGGAAAGCGGCCTCAGGGCTGGGTCCGGCCTGCCCTCGGTGGCACCTCCCTGGACTGCCTCACCTGGGTCTGCGGCGGTGGAAGGAGCGAGAAGCCCCAGCACTAAACTCTCCCTCGCTCTGTTTTTTGAGGAACCTGAATGAACCTGAAAGCAAAGATCGAGTGGAGACTCTCAGGTGAGAGGGCTGGAGCCAGCACCGGCCCTGCCCCGGCCTCCGGGCTTGCCACGCCTCCCGCTCCTCTCCTCCTGCCACCCCTTCGCCACCCTCTTGAGGCTTCCCTTTTCCTCAGAGAACCCCCAGCGCAGGGTGGGCCCTTCTGCGGTCTGGAAGGAGGAGCCCTGCTCACCTGTCTGGGCCTCCGCGCTCCCGTGTCCAGCCCTGAATTCAGGCTGCTGAGCGGTGCTCCCCGTTCCTCCCTGACCCTCCCCTCTTCCAAGGGAAGCACGACTGTACCCCTGCCCGCCCGCGGCTGGCTTCTGCCTGGCTCCTCCCCTCTGCCCAGGTGGAGGCCAGGACTACCCACGCCTCTCGCCCGCCCGCTGCTCTCTGCTCTGCTCTCAGGGTCCCTGGCGCCAGGGTGGTGCCATGGGTGGGTCCTGGGTCCCCTGACGCGGCTCTGCCTCTCCACAGACCTCACGTGGTGGGCGGTGGTGGCAGCGACAAGGAGAAGGAGGAGTCCCGGGAGGCCAAGCCGCGCTCGCTCCGCTTCACGTGGAGCATGAAGACCACGAGCTCCATGGAGCCCAACGAGATGATGCGGGAGATCCGCAAGGTGCTGGACGCCAACAGCTGCCAGAACGAGCTGCACGAGAAGTACATGCTGCTGTGCATGCACGGCACGCCGGGCCACGAGGACTTCGTGCAGTGGGAGATGGAGGTGTGCAAACTGCCGCGGCTCTCCCTCAACGGGGTGCGGTTTAAGCGGATATCGGGCACCTCCATGGCCTTCAAAAACATTGCCTCCAAAATAGCCAACGAGCTGAAGCTTTAACAGGCTGCCAGGAGTGGGGGGCGACGGAGGCGGGCCGCTGGACTTAGCTGCTGGCCCACCGCTCCGGCCCACCTGGGCGAGACTGCAGACGGATGGCGTGTCTCCCCCTGCTGGCACTTCTCCCTCCCGCCCTGCTCAGTTTTTTCTTCCATGTTTGTGGGGATGGGAGATGGTTCTTTCCCCCCCACGTTGACCCCTGCCCAGATGCCGCCCTCCCCCTCTCCCACAGGAGGTAAAGGAAGGGAGGGTGGGGGCAGGGCTCCCCTCGGTACTGCGGTTGCACAGAGTATTTCGCCTAAACCAAGAACTTTTTTATTACCAAAAAGAAAAAAGAAAAAAAAAATCCCAGCGGCCATTTTTCCTCCCTGCCCCATTGGGACAGTCGAGACTGGATCTGTGGGGTTTCCCGGGAGGGTGGCTCAGGGCTGGAACACTCTCAGGCAAGAGTGGTGGAGCTCCCTGTCAGGCCCTCCGCCAGGCCCACTGCGGGCTTCTCCCCTCTCCCCTCCCCTCCAAGCAAACCACCAGAGGTGGCCTTCCCCTGACCTCAGGCCCCTGGGCTGGAGCCTGGGGGGCTAGGGGCTGGGGTGGGGGTGCTGTGCAGCCCTGAGGTGGGTGGGCTGGCAGCGAGGCGTGGGGCTCCAGCCTCCCCCCACACTGTATCCTCTGCCCCCCTTCCCAGAGCTGGGCATTTCCTTCCACAAGCTGCTGTGGGGACCTTGGTCCCCCCCTCAAAAGTCTGTGCCATCTTGTCCCACCCCCTCCCGGGGAAGAAGGCGGGGCTGACCCTAGGGCTGGGATAGGGGAGGGGACTGCTGGGCAGATGGGCTCCTGGGCCCCAGGGGGCCGCCTGGGCTGGGCGTTCTCCATTATGGGAGAGCCTTTTGTCTGAAAGCGCAGAGCGAAGCCCGCTCACTCGCCGCTCCTCTTCTCTCCCCACTGCTCCGTTCATTGGCATTAATCTGGGCACCAGCTAGTTCCATAGCAGTGACTTCCCTCACCACTCATCTCTGGCCTTGCCTTTCTTCCTGACACTGTCACCCCTCCTCTCAGGAGACACTGCCCAGAGCCTGCAGGCCACTGGCGGGGGCCGGATAGGGCAGCAGGGCCGGGCCTCTGCCCTCCACTGGGTGGGGGACAGGCCAGGCCACTCCCAGCTTGCTAACCTATGGCCAGGGTGGGAGTGGCTGGTGGTGGGCGCTTGGCTGGTGGTGGCCGCTGCATCCCTTAATTTATTTCTCTGCTGTTTCTTTTCTTGAGAAATTGGGGGAAGGGGTCCAGCACAGAGGCTGCCCCTACCCTCACCTGAGTTGTACATTTTTTGTGATGGGTTTTATTTTTTATTTTATTATTTTATTATTTTTTTGATTTATGATGACTCCACCCCTACTCATCACCCCACTCCCAGGCCAGGCTCCTTGGCAATTAAAGCCCTTGGGTCCCAGGAAGGGGCCATGCCAACCTCAGTCCTCCTGCCCCCAAGCCCAGCTTCGGGCTCGGCTCCGACCAAGGGCTCCCTTTCCCCCTCCTCCCCTCCTGCCCTATGGAACAGCCCTGGTGCTCCGAGGGGCTGGGAGGGCATGGCTTGGCTCCCAAGGGGGGGATGGTGGCCAGGGGCTCCCAGGCAAGGCGGCCCTCCCCACCCAGCCCCCCACTCCTGCACTTCGTTTCTCCTCTGGATCAAACACGTAATAAAGAGAATGTTTGGAATCTGAGCTACCTCCTCCTCTTTATTCTCCCCACTGGGCAGGGACCCAGTCCCTGTGGGCAAGACGCAGCCTAGCCGCCTTCCTGCAGGATGGATTCCTGTCGGGGCCGGGGCGCACCCTCCCTACCCTCATGGCAGTCAGGAAGCCCAGGGTCCTTACACCAACAGGGAGAGAGGACTCAGTGAGCTTGGAAGGTTTTATTTCTTTAAAAAACATTGAAAAATAAACCCATGTCTGCATCTGTTTCTTTCTCTAAGCTTTCAGGTGGCGAGTGAAGTGGGCACCCTCAGAGCTCAGCGCGTCCCTGGAGGCCTCTTGTGTGGCCAAAGCCGGGAGAGCCGCCCCTTACGTCTCAGCTGCTGTCAAGCCCCAGGGGACTCTCGGCCCCCTCCCCCCTCCAGCCCCTCCCTACCTCACCCCAGACTTATTGCTAAAAGAAGGGAAGAGGAAGAACCGCCAACAGGCCAAAATGTCCTCCCCCACCCCCCAAGCTACGATCAGGACCCCCTCTACACAAAGGCTAGGGCCAAAAGGCCAAACTCCAGCTGACTAGGAGGCAGCCACTGCGCCCCTCCGGGAAGAGCAAGTGCCCTCAGGCCAGCTCAGAGGCCCTGGGCCCTGAGCCCCACCCCGGTTGGGCTGTGGGAGATGGGCTCAGCTGCCAGAGACGGTCAGAACTGCTGGTCTGCCCAAGATGGTCAGCAGCTGTGGGTCTTTGAAAGACCTGGCAAGAGCTCCAGTCCCTTCTGTCGTCAGTGAAGCCAGGGGTGCCCAACACATCCAGCAAAGGTGTTCTGGAGCCTCTGGGTGGAGGGCCTCAGAGCTCAGAGTGAGGGGGCTGGAGGCTCCAGGGGGGCTCCAATCAGGGTGGGTGGGGGCTGAGGGCCAGGGCGGGCACTGTGACGGGAGGCAGCCACAGCTGGGCGGATAAGAGGTGGTGGGGGCTGGTTGGGGGCCAGCCGGGGCTGGAGGAAGCGGCCCTGCTGGAGTGGGGGCGGCTGGCGAAGCAGGGTAGGAGCCGTGGGCAAAGGTGGCCTCAGCAGTGGGGGCGGCTGGGACAGGGAGGTGGGAGGTGGAGGGGGGGGTGGCGGAGGGGGCACGGGTCGGGGCACAGATGTTGAGACAGATGTAATCTGGACCTGAAAGGAAAGAGAAGAGTGAGAAGCCGGGCTCCGCCACACCCTCAGCCCAACCCAGGGACGTAGGCGGTTCCTCTCCTCTCTTCTCTGAAGGGTTTCTCTCACCCCTTCTCACCTCGTCATCTTCCTCTAGGGCTGGGGCTGGCAAGGGAGCCCCTCTCCTAGCCTCCTCCATGGGGACCGGGGCTCCAGGGGCCCCATCCTGCTCAGCCTCCCATTCCTGCAGCACCTCCTCCAGATTGAAGCGGCGCCGGTAGCTCACAAAAAAGGTCTTCACCTGGGTCAGAGTCTTGTTCCCAATCACCTCTGCAATAGCCCCGAAGTCTTTGCCGTACCTGCGGATGGCTGCGCGGGCCAAAGGGTAGCAGAGAGAACACCTTAGAAGGAGTTACTTCCTGACCCTTCCCCTCTGCCCAGCTCCTTCGAGGGTGGGGGAGAGATTCTGGGGCCCCCCGTTCCCTCCAAGTCGCACCCACCTTGTACAGCCAGGAGCTGCTCGTCTGTGGTCCAGCGGGAGTTGAACTTGGTGTTGGCCTGAAGAGCAAGGAATAGCTCCTTTACACTCAAAAACATAAAAATGGAGGCGCCGCTCTCCAAGCAGCACGCCCCTTTCCGCTCCGCCTCCAGAGAGGACCCCTTCCTGCACCCCAACTCAAGAGCAGCCTCACCTCAGGGGGGCGGAGTGGGTCAATGCCGCCCTCCAGGGCTTGGCGGAGGCTGCTATTGGTCTGCTTCATGCTTTGCACCTGGAAGGCCAGGCAATGAAGGGATATCAAGCTCTCCATGCCGGGGAGGCTGTCGGTACCAGCCCTCACCAGGGCCCTAGCTCTGCACACACCAGTGCCACTTCCCACAAAGCTCTTTGCCACCCACCACTAGTCACTCCACCCTCACAGCCACTCAGCAGGGGCGACGCTGTGCTCCACTCCTGTTCACAGACCAGGGGGAGAAGATGCCAAGTCACCCAGCAGCGCAGGAGGCAAGGCAGGGGCAGAAGCAGGCTTGGCACCTTACACCTCAGCTGCCCAGTCATGATTCCCAGCTGCCGACTGCTCCCTCTGCACGCCCCTTCTTCTCTCGGGCCCCCACCTGACGCTTGAGGGAGATGAGCTGGGAATCAAGGCCTCGAAGCGTGAGGTTGGCAAGGTCTGGGCTTCCTGACACCGCAGTGAGGCCCTCGGGGCTCAGGTACATGCCCTTGGGGGGGCGCCGCCGCGTCCTCAGTGGGTGGTGGCGATACTGAGAGGCCTGGGCCTCCTTCTTCCCGGGGCCTGGGCGGGCATTCAGAGGCCGAGAGGGCAGAGGCTGCCGAAGAAAGGAGAGGACGGTGGTAGCGCAGCGCCCAAGGAGAGGGCGGGCAAGTGGGCCAGGCCAGTTCTAAGGCCTCACCTCTCTCTTGGGGTCTCCGGCATCTGGCTCTCCCTCACTCACAGCTCCTCGTCCCTCCTCGAGCTCATCACTGCTGACACAGGGCGAGAGAAAGAGTGAGGCAGGGGCAGGGCCCCCAGGAGCTCCGCTTGGCCCCTCCCACCCCCTGGCTCACCCCTGGGCCCCCACCTCTCTTCTTTGTCCTTTCGGCCCCCCAGCCGCCGAGCCTGTCTGTCCATCACGCTGGTCCGGCTCCGGGTCTTCTTCCAAGAGTAGTAATACTTCACCAGGCTGGGGATCAGCTTGTCGGGCAGCTGGAGGGGCAACGCCAGAGGCTGGGGCCACCGAGTGTGGGCCCCGGGCAGGCGCATCAGAAAGGAGGGGCTGAGGAGCGATGGCGGGGGTGGAGGGCTTTACCATCTGCTGGATCCGCTGGAAGCACTTGCCGTGGAAGCCAAAGGCCTGTTCAAACAGCACCTTGTCCTCCACGGTCCACTCGTCGGGGAACGGGGTGAAGTTGGCCAGGTCAGCCAGTGACTTCTCCACGTCGTGCTTATGCCAGAGGAGCATGCCCAGTGCCTGGCCGGGGAGAGGGCACAACTGTCTGAGCCACCCAGGCACTGTCTGGTCCCCCCCCAAACCCCTGTGGGGCCGAGGCTCACCTGCTCAATGTGTATCCGTGCTTCTCCTTGGCCCATTGCAATGTACTTGTCAACTGTGGGAAGGATGGGGCCGGGATCTTGGAATGAGGGATTACAACTCCTACTCCTTTCCCCCCCCCCCACCCACACAGGGGTAAGCCTCCAAGCCTGAGCCCAGGGCAGGGGTTGAACCCACACCTCAGCCTCCAGCCCACTTCTGGGGCAGACTGGCATGGATGCCAGCCCCCAGTTCCCAGGGATGTGTATGAACCCAGGCTCCCACCCACTCACGCTTGGCATCCGACACACAGTGGTTGGGCGACCACACGAGCATCCCCTTCAGCTCCTTGTTGCTGTAGCGTGCGGGGCTCTCTGAAAGGCAGAGGCGGAGGGAAGACACTCAGCAGCCTCTGGCACTGGCCTGGACGCATGGCCAGAGGGCGGCGGAGCAGTGGGGCCTGCGAGGTGAGGCCCAGAAAGGAGGAGGGGCAGAGACCCAGACAGGAAGGCAGAGCAGGAAAACTAGCCATGCCATGGGGCCACCCACCCCCGCCTGCCCGCCTGGCCGTCCTTCCAGTGGGCGCCAGCCAAGGGCTCCCCCTAGGTGGGGCTCAGGGCCAAGCCCTGGGCGCCCCTCCCTGTGCAGCCTGCCCTGCCACTCACCAGGCTTGCACTCGGGGATTACAGCCTGGTAATTGGTTCCAACGCGGATCATGCTGTCTGTGGAGCCAGGAGGAGGCAGTCAGGGCTCCAGGGAGGGCGGGAGGATGTGGCGGGGGAGGTGGCCTGGAGTTCCTCCTGAGCACCCAGGGCCCCCACCTTCCAGGAGGCTCACTTTCCCCTCATCTTCCCCCTGTTACCCTCGGCCATACAAGGAACTGGAATAGGAAGAGACCCTGCCTAGTCATAGCCTCTGGGGGCCTGGGGGGCTCAGGGGAGGACGGAGGACAAGGGGCCAGTTTTAGAGCCCAGACCAGGCAGAGCCCTTTGTTCTGGCGGGGGGTGGGGGGCGGTTGGAGGGCTGCCCCTAGACCTGGACCACAGCCCTGCAGGAACCCAAGGCTCCTCCCCACCACATGAGCTTCCCAGCTTGGTGTGGTGTCTTCCCAGACCCTGCCCGGCCAGACCTCAGTCCCCTGCAAGGTGGCCAGGTATGAGGGGCCCAGCCTGTGGGTGGGAGGGTGAGGGACGCCCCAGTCCCTCAGGGCGCGGGCGGGCAGCTAGGGGCCCAGCCCCAGATTCCGTGCCGGCAGCCCCAGGCTTCGGGGAGAAGCAC